TATACACATATATAATAATTAGATGTTATTAAAATAAGCATGTTATTTCATTATTACAATCATCAAATCTATATATAAACGCATATCGAATAAATGGTATAAATTACTAAATATATTAAAATATATAGCCAATTTTTTTATTCAGTAAATATTTATTTTTCATCTAAAATCTTATTTTTATTACGTAAGAATTTATTATTTAAGAAAAAATTAATTGTTAACTTATAATTACTGATTCTGAAAAATTACAAGTTTTAACCATTACACATTTTTTGTAATTCTTGTAATTGTCTTCGGAGATGTATAGTTCGCAATTTATTTAACGCTATTCTTTTTTCAAACGTTTGTACCAAAGGCTTTGTAATGATATCTGTTATATGAACCAACGCACGTGTCCTAACTGCAAATAAAAATTATCTGAACTTGGATTTTTTAAATCTATGTTTACTCCAGATACTAAATACTATTTTTAAATTGTATTTTTAATTTATAAAAAAATATATATATACATACCAGCATCATTATGGATACTGGCGAGGACATCTGGATGATCTTTACAGGCTTCAGCCATATCTTCTTCTTCTTGTACCAAAATTTTTGACAAGTCTGTCATTGTCTGCAACATTATTTAATTTCAGACAGAGTTTTCTTCGCTTTAAATTTCTTACAACAATACAAAAAAAATTAAAATCTCTTACTTTTAAACATCTGTCTGAAATATCTGGAGTATGTATTATTTCTAATGGTATCTCTGTAGCTTCACCATTATCCGATTGAAAACAATTTAAGAAGATTTCGTGTTCCTTTAAAGTAAAAAAAAAAAAAAACATTAAAACATTTATTTATCTGTATATTATAATTTATCTATATAAACAACTTTAAATTATTTCATAGACTATTTATCAAATAAGTTAATGCACTAAAAGTTTTATATTCATTATTGACACTATCAATTTACTACTAGATAAAACACAAAAGATTTCGTTTTTTAATCACATAAAGACTATATCAATAGCTGTGAATTTATTGATAAAAAAATTAAGATAAAGAAAATATATGTACTTTTGATTCTTTGCCCTCTGAAAATACTGAGAATATTAAGCCTACAAAACTGTGATCCATTGTTTGATAAGTAGCTTGAGTTCTGACATCTGCAAAACAAAAGTAATTTTATGTAAAAATTTTAAATGCAAATTATATTATTTAAACATTTTGACAAACAAAGTATTTATAATACACACCAACGTGTGATGGACAAACTGTAATATGTGGATGCGAATGATACCAGCCAAGGACACGCATGGGTCGATTTAATTCTACAGTTAATCGTTCAGCTTCAGCAGCAGCTTTCAGTAATTGTTCTGACGATATCTCTACTCTGTCTTTCTTCTTATCTAGACGTCGCAAAATAATAACAGCTGATATTTTTGCTACTCCACACTCAAACTAAAAGGGGGATAATTAATGCTTTGATTGTCTCATTAATTGTATAGGAAATAACAAAGAAATATCATGAACATAAGATGTTCTAAGTTCCACGTACATTACCGATAAGTAAGCCCATTACTTCAAAGTTCTCTGTAGATAAAGCATGCTGCAAACATACCATGTAGACATCTGTTTGCAGCTCTACTTTTTGCAATGGGGAGTCATCCATTGTTTATGAAGATATTAATCTTTTGGAAATAAAATACACAAATGTGAATAAATTCATAACTGCTGAATGTTACAATTGTATTTGAGATATTACAAATAACGCTCTAGTTGCTTAGATTTCTAGAACAAAAATATAGTGAGTATAGGCCTGTTATTCGTAGCTAAACTTTTGCTTTAGTCATAATTTAGAGCTATTTTCTGGGAATGAACAAATGGACTATCGTGCACGAGCGTTTTATTTTATTAAGAGAGTTGCTTCTTAGGCAGAGAGGTTTCTCTCTCCCAAGCTCCTTTTAATAAAACAATTATATGCGGACGAGATGACGTGATAGTATAATAATTTATGCATAACCTATACCACTTATGAACGCTATTGACGCCCACATATACGTCGGCTTGTCCAACGTTAAATTAGGTGTACATATAGTCTGAGTTCGAATAACATTTTTTCGTGTGGATGTTATTAAGATATATCTAGTCTAGTGCGTTACTTGCATGGTCTTTCGAATGTTGTTTTTATTCAGCAAACAATACCGGCGGACTATTAACTGACGAGTTTGGAGTCCAGGTAAACAGCGTGAACTCGACAATCCGTCAAGATGTGTTGCAGCCAAAAGCCAAACTGAGCCAAACAACAGTCGATTAGTGAGCGAGTCGACAAATCTCTCCCTTGTCAAAAGTCGAGAGAGAAAGAGATTCCCCGCATTCCTCGCTCCCCCGGTCCAACTTGAACGATCCTTCCCAATCTTCCCCTTCGTCTGCGATCTGCCTTCGTCCACCTCGCTACGCCTCCTCGCCGTTAACGCAACTCGGAGCCGACGGAGGCAACGGAGCGTTGTGTAAATCGGGATTGATCAGCGATTGTATTACGAATTTACGAACGAGCTAAAGATATTTCGCTAAAGTGAGCATCGTGACATTCAAGAAGTGCTATAAAAGGGGAATCCCTAAATCTCATGGGATCGTATTACGCATTACGTGAATAAAGGCAAATCGCTGTCGCCGTATGCTACGCGTTAACGTCGTCAAGTGCCACAGAATCAGCTGGCGAAGATCAATTCCAGTCAATTTCGTTTGACGATCTATGCCGATTTATGCCGTTTATATTTAACAGGCTTGTGCAACGCAATTATATCACGGCGTACGCCGGATATAATACGGATTTTAGCGCGCGAGAACGGAATATTTAGCGCGTGCCAGCGCCAGCGTCTATGTGTGTACTGTGTACTACATACATACACACATACATACGTGCACGTATATATCAGTATATATGCGCATTGCGCACACAGGCGCGCATCTATGCACGCCATACACACTTCTTGATTGCTCGCGGGCTCGCACAATCCCACTTTTACCCACTTTGGAGTTTAATCAGAGGTGGTGTGATGCGCGTACTGTGACGCTCGAAGATGCTCGTAAACAGTTTTTTGTCATCGCGCGGCGGGGTAAGTCGACAGATTTTGAGGTTATGTGTTGTCACAGGGTAACTAGGAGGCTAAATCGACGATAATTTGCAAACTCATGAATTACATTGTCTTAACAGCGTGACGCGATTAACACCGGCAACACCGAGGTACTTATTGCGTCATGGTAGATAATCGAACACCCATTAACTCGGAAAATAAGTATTGTATGGTAAATGCGGATCAGGACAACCCAAGGGAAACACGCACGAAAGAAATAATGCCTTCGGAGCTGAGGTCGATCAGCGTGGCTGACTGGCTCACAGTCACGGTCCTCTGTTTCGTAAATCTTATAAATTATATGGACCGCTTCACGGTTGCTGGTGAGTCTTGCTTTGTTTTAGGAACAATTGTTGAATTAATAGAATTTCTGAGAAGTCTTTTACAATTTATAAAATGATTTCCTGGATAGAGAACATCATTTCTCTTGGTTTATACAAACATATTTAATATTTTATTTCAGGAATATTGACGTACATCAAGCATGACTTTGATATCGGTAATGATAAGTCTGGGCTACTGCAAACAGCATTTATTTTGAGCTACATGGTGTTTGCGCCGTTATTTGGATATTTAGGAGATCGTTACAATAGAAAATTTATTATGAGCGGTGGTGTATTTTTATGGTGCCTAACAACATTTATTGGTTCTTATATGAAAGTAAGTATATCTCGTAGAGTCTGCTTTTTTATTTTTGTATCGAGCTGAAACTTCTCATTAATTAAGTGATCGATCTTGTAAGGCCTTACAAACATTGCGAATGCTATTATGTGATCACCAACTACAGCATATAAAGTAAATAGGAGCAAAGGCAACTAAGACTAAGATAAGCAAATATTCGTGGTAAAAATTAAGGTTGCTAAAAGATAAGTTTCACATCTTTATAATCAAGTTTTGTCAAGGTAAACTGAATATCTGCTATTTTAAAGCACAATGTTAAACTGATGTTGCTATTATGTTCACGATGTTGGTTTCTGAATAACAAATAAATATTCTTGAATTATACACTACATGTGGACATCTCATTCGTTATTCTTTCATTATAGCTTTGAATATTACCAATGATAACTTCTTATATATATTCAGGCTCAATTTAATTGTAATCGACAAGATTGCCATTTAAGTTTTCTTAATAGATGTTATACTCAAAGTAAACCTATAATCAAACATAAGAATCTTATTAAAATTAGATGTGTTATTGCATTTTTCTATTAATACCAGGTTGTATCTAATGAAGAGATTCATTAACACATCTAATTTTGTCATGTGCAAGAAAGTATCATACAAAATATAAATTTAATGTGTAATATTTTTAATTTATTTCAGACCTTTGGATGGTTCCTATTCTTTAGAACACTTGTTGGCATAGGAGAAGCTAGTTACTCTACAATCGCGCCAACAATTATTAGTGATTTATTTATAAAAGATGTACGTTCTAAGATGCTCGCCCTATTTTACTTTGCTATTCCAGTTGGAAGGTACATTGATTATGATCTGCATGATTAAAATATATGTTACTTAATATGTTGCTTATATGTACAGTGGGAGCAAAAAGTATTCGTACAAGGAAATTTTTTATAAAAAGTTTTATTTATAGAAAATAAACATTAATTAACAATTTTATACAATGAATATATTCCGTTCTTACATTAACAAATGAGCTTTGCATATATTTTTTATTTTAGAAGCTAAATTTCTCGACTGTACGAATACTTTTTGAGCATTCAAACAGTATAATTTTTAATTTTCGCTTATTTTTCAGATATATTTTCTATAATTAATACACATCTTTTTGGTATATATAATTTTAAGAAATATACAGTCTATTTTATTCTTCATGAATAAATTGTTAATTACCTAGCAAGAAATGAGCGTCAATTAAACGTCGAATCGATGTCAAATTGGTGTTGAAATCATCTTATCGATATTGATTCAACATTAATTTGATGACTCATTTTCTCGCTGAATAATATTTACTTTTTAAAAATTAAGTTTTTTTAAAGAATATTTTCTCCGTACGAATACTTTTTCCACTCACTGTATATATTATTTTAGTGGTTTAGGATATATTACTGGAGGTGAAACAGCTCGTATTACTGGTCAGTGGCAATGGGGGTTGCGTATTACTCCAGTATTAGGAATTGTAGCGATCCTTCTATTACTTTTTGTAGTAAGAGATCCTATTAGAGGTGAACGTGAAGGAGGTGTTCATTTGACAAGTACCACATGGTCATACGATGTCAAGCAGTTATTAAAGAAGTAATTATATTAGCAATATTATATTTTTTTCATTGAAGTTGTATTATTATATGGGATTTATATATATATATTCTTTTATTAATACTTTTATTGATATTTGTTTATCATATCAATGATCTATGTCATCTATTATTACTAATTGTCCAGATAAAATAAAACACAAACTCTGTACACTATAACAGTTTTTAACTATCTGTTAGGATACGAGACTGAGATCATGACAAATAATAGAATATGTATTTAAAAATATAATAGAGTTATCTAATTTATTTCTTTTATTATATGATATATAATTTATGATGTATAATTTAATGAATTCGATTAAACAATTATTTTTTCACCAAGTTATTTAATTGTAAATAAAGATCGAGTAATAGCGCCACTATCACAGTACATAATGATATTTAAAAAATGACAATTAAGAGAGATTGATTTTAAAATGCAGTGACAAATGATCAAATTCAACTACATTATTTTTTCTAATAATTTCTAACAATTTCTAACAATTTGCAGTTAATACTATGTTTCTTATATTATTGACATAATTTTCAGTTCAAGTTTTATGCTGTCTACTGCAGGATTTACTTGTGTAGCGTTTGTCACTGGTGCACTGGCATGGTGGGCGCCAATATATCTACAATTAGGTTTCCAATTACTTCCTTATGGAGCAAATGTTGATCCAGAAGAGTAAGTTTTTTTTTTAATATTTACATATTATAATATGTTTATTTTATTATAAAAATGTATATTTTTATACATAATTATATAATTGTATTTATGTGTGTTATAATGTTTCAGTGTTGCATATAAGTTTGGTTTAATTGGTATGGCATCTGGTCTAATAGGTGTACCTTTAGGCTCTGCTATAGCACAAAAATTACGAACTTACTGGCAACAAGCTGATCCTCTGATATGTGCCGTAGGCCTTTTAATAAGTGCTCCTCTATTATTTTTTGCTATGATTACTGCCAATACAAATTCTACTCTTTGTTACATATTAATATTTTTTGGTCAGTTATCACTAAATTTAAATTGGGCTATTGTAGCAGACATATTACTGGTAGGGAACAATATATTAAAAAATATATTTCTTTTTTATATAATTATATTTTAATAAACTTAATTATCTTTTATTATATTGTAGTATGTAGTGATTCCCACAAGAAGGTCCACAGCAGAAGCATTCCAAATACTCATTGCACATGCTCTAGGAGATGCAGGCAGTCCTTATCTTATTGGACTTGTATGTAAAAATAAACTCACTGTACTAATCTTACAAAATATTAATTATTAATTGTTTTCAGATATCAGAAGGATTAAAGTCCACATTCTTGTCGGATGTAGGAAGACAATCTGATATTTATGATAGTCAAAATATAAGCATCGAGTTCCATAGTCTACAATATGCAATGTTTCTTACAATGTTTGTAGAAGTATTCGGTGCTCTATTCTTCTTCCTGACAGCATTGCATATACAGAAGGACAAGGCATTAGTCGATCTTGCTATTGCGGGTAAGTAAAGAAATATATCTATTATTAGTTGAGGCAAAAATCGATGTTTAGGTAACGCACTGTGTTTTGCATGTCTACAATTGAGAAATTCTTACTAATAGCTTGATGTTTGATATATATATATATATATATATATATATGTATATATATATATACATGTATATAAAAATATTGTTATGAACAATTATTATAAACTTGTTCTCATATATAAGATATATTAGTGCAAGTATAAATGGTTTTTGCAAGAATATTTTTTATATATATACTTAATGCCAAACATTATATATACATAAACATTAATATATCTGTCAAAATTATCACAGCAAATAAATATTCTATCAAAATTTCGCATATTTTAAATAAGCATAATTTTACGAAAAATTGTATTCAATTTTTTTTTCATTTTCAAGGATAAAGTCTGTATTTTGAAAAGATTTTGAATATATTTTGAATTTATCTTCCCCTATCTTCATTCTCTTAAAAAATAAAGATGTGTTACATCTCCAAAAAATTGCATAATTTGATGCACTCTACGAGATGGAATGAATTTTTTTTTCGCAAATATGGTAATCATCTTAAAGTTGTTAAAATATGGACTTTTCCTGCAAATTAGAATAAAAGAAAGTTTGTTACGATTCTTCACGTAGTTACAGCGTATAAAATTTATCTATGCATTTTCGTCAGTTGTACTATGTGTGCGTGCGTGTAGAAAGAGGGATATATCTTCGTATTTAAAATTGCATATTCCGAAGACGAGACGGATATATATATTCATATACAGTTTTAGATATATCCCTCTACTCAACACGCGCGCGCGCAAAATCCGATTAGCAATCTCCGCGTGATGTGCGTCGGATAATACTAATGCTGGCGGTAACTAAAAGAAATGCATAGATAACCTTGATATATTGCGAAATAGAATCGTAACGAACTTACTTTCTTTGTAATTTGCAGGACAAATCTATTTTATGATATGGTACTTGCAAAAAAATTAATTTCACGCATTAGAGTGCGTTAAATTACGCAATTTTTTGGAGATATAATACTTTTTTATTTTTTCAGAGACAGAGGAAGAGGAGGAAAATCAAAATCTGTTAAACGTTTCTTAAAATACGGATTTTACCTTTGAGAATGGAACCAAATTTTTAATACAACAATTTTTTGCTAAGTTAATTTATTTAAAGTTTAAGAAATTTTGATAAAATTTACTCGTTGCGATAATTTTATTAACGACTGTATTAAATAAAGCATTGAGTGCTCATACATTATCCGGTAAGTGTGATACATATATTAAGATATTGAATAATCAAGTAGATGATTCATATATTATGTAATAATACTGTAATATCGCATTAATAAATAAACATATACATATAACATACATATATTACTCCTGTAGTCTAGATCTGGTCGGAATGTGAAATAAAAATTTGCAACTAAACTAAAACATTCTATTTTTGCACAGTGCATGAATTGTTCGCAACTTTGGACTTACAAGCACAAGCTTTGGGACCAAAACGAAGGTAGTATACCTACCTTTATTACTTATGATATCATTTAACACGTTAAGCGCCATAAAACTTTTATCTACTATATTGAAAGATAATATGTAATATAAAAAGCATATATGAGAAAAATATATAACAAATATTTGTGTATGTAAATATAATAAAATAAAGTGTGAAATAAAACAATGAAATGAAATATGAAATATTTTATAAAATTGCAGATAGTTGAACAAATATTTATTTTTATTTATGCATAGTTTATTTATTTGTTACATTAATTTTTTATTAATAAAATTAGTAGTTTTTAAATGAAAAAATTGAAAAAAATATTTAGGTTGTTTCTTAAAATTTATTAAGAAAGTTTATAATTATTTTTAATTATAATTGTAATTTTTTTACTGTAAAATTTATAAACATTATAAACTCTATAAATTTATAAACATTATAAACATTATAAATTTATAAACTCTCCGAATTTTTGAAAAATTTTACCGTATTTTTAACCGTGGCGCTTAACTTGTTAAAATTTAGGATTTTTTACATTTATTAATAATATAAAAATAAAACGACAATATGAACCAGCACAAGATGTAATTTGTGAAAATTATATAATTCTTAAAGAAATTTACAAACGTTTCAACAATACAAACTGGTCGACATTCAAAAAATCCAGTTTGTATTATTAATCCGTTTCACTTTCTACACTTGAAGAGGACAAAATTATATTGTCGAAACGTTTATAAATTTCTTTAAGAATTATATAATTTTCACAAATTACATCTTGTGCTGGCTCACATTGACGTTTCATTTTTATGTTATTATTAAATATTGGAGCCTTATACTACTGTATTTATTTTTGCATTTATGTTTTTATTATGATCAATTGTTTTATATGCGGTAATTTGAACGGTGCTTTTATAATCCTGAATTTTTATTTTATATTCCACCAAAATATATATTACAAAAAATCTGATGTTCACATATATTTATAATAAATTTCTTAATATAGAGTAGAACATTTATGTGTTTTTAAAAGCAAATAGTTTAAGCATAATAATTTTGTCATCAATTTTCCTATTTCTCTTGTATAATATTGCTCTATTAAAAAATGGCGCTTAACGTGTTAAGGAAGGTAAATATGTAGATTAGGGGAGCCCCCCCCCCCCCAA